TGAAGGGGAACAGTGTTTCCTGTTTGTGAAGGGAAGTTCCAGGAAGTATCCATGAAATACTCATGAAATATTTAATTCAATTTTAGTTGCTTCCAGCTATTCTCTTATTTTGTAGTACTGCACAGCGCATGTGGGGCAGACATTGACTTCTGACTGTTTCAGTTCAGTCACTAAACCCTAGCACATACTCCCACATGTACCTCAGTTCACCTAGTTTTCAAATCACATGTGCTTTAATAATCTTTGTTGACATTTATCACACCATCACTACACCATCTTCTTTAAGAAAAAAACCCCAACATGTTGCAGAAGTCTTGAAGAGTTCTGTGTAGCACATCAGTATAGCAACCCCTGACTTCCAGCTTTGCACTTAATAAGACCACCTGGCAACTGCTTGACGCTTTCTCGCATTGTATTGCTTTTGGTGCTACTTTTTGAAAACCACTGGAACACTTATGGGAATTTATCAGAAGTTAATCACGTCCTTATAACTTAGTCACTGATCACATGATGTCAGTGCTCTGTGATTCACTTCTGATTCATTTCAAATTGTGCATTAGGTGAGTTGGAACCTGCTTATGAAATAAAGACCATGCTTATGAAATGAAGGCCTCTTAGACCTAGAAAAGCTAACTTTTTTCTTTCTTGCAAAATTCGGTTCAGTTAAGACACCCTTGGCATTCTTCCTGTTGCCTTATCATTGCACTCATGAGTGGGAAGGTCTCAGTACAACGATCTTGTCTATTGAACATACTCTTTCTGTTAAGTATATTTACCAGAGGCTTGGTGGCCATCAGGACCTGGTGAAAAGCAAGCAGCGTGCTCTTAAAGCCTTGCTTATTGGCTTTTGAATACTTTGATACTTTCAACTATTCTAGGAACAAGTGATACTTCAGTTATTTCTAATGCATGGATTACAGGAAGCCACCAATTGGATCATGCAATAGAGTAACTGATGGGCCTAGATTAGGATGTCCTCACCCTTGTGTGTTTTGAGTCTCTCGTATGCAATGGAACTTTTGTAATTGTAGTTTTTGGTGGCTTTGTGTTACTACATAGGTAATAAAATACTTAGCCCTAAATGTCTTTGTGCTTTCACTCATGTAGTTAAATACTGGAAAAGTGTATTCAACTCCTACTTCCTTGTTTGTTTCAGAGAATATTTATTAAAACATCTTAGTACAATAAGGGCAGTTACAAGAGGAAAAACATGTACGGATGCATTATTTGTATTTTGCTGCAGTGAAACAAAGCTAAGGCTTATGCAGTATTTTGCAGCTTTCTTTAAGGTAAATTCACTAACTGAAATACACCCATTCCACTTTATTTAGTATTCACTTAGTGGTTTTTGCTCAGCAGGGTGTGTGGTTAGAAACAGGTATACAAACGGAAATGAAAATGAGTCTCAAAGTTTTAAAACAAACTGCTGGAGGTTCAAGAAAATGCTGCAGAGGCATTCAGAGAGACACTCTTGCAGCACAGTCAGGCAAGCCCTCTTATTGGCTCCACCATTTGTACAAAGATAGCTTACCATAACTTTTGTCACTTCCTTACACACAGCTATGTTTGGCAGGTTAGCTCTCCAAAAAGAAGTGGCCTAGTGGTCGGAGACACGAAACACCCAATGATAGTTGTGAAACCAAAACTGAGCTGGAGTCTTTTCTCATCTAAGGCCCATTTTTACTGGTTTAACTCCATGGATTTTTTTGAATTATGAATTTGTGAAATACAAATGGAAGAAGAATCAGACTCAAGATTTTTCTTTTTAGTAACGTTTGCTGTATTATTTGTATGCCCTTGAAGTGGGCAGGAAGATGGCATTAAACATTTGATACTGCATGTGTTTGTAAAATCGTGTGCTACTACAATTCCATGCAGGCTTGCTGTTCTGTGCTGAACTGTACTGGGGACCTTAAGATTTTTTGTTGCAGAGTGTTTATTTTGAGTTTTAAACCACCACTAATATGATGTTTTTTCTTTGTGGAAATGAGCCTTTTAGTTGGGCGAGAGAATGGGTAGCACAAAACTTAGTGCTGCTTTAATGTGTGCAAAATAATTGCATGTCATTGTAATGAAGTCTGTTGTGAGATAATTAGGTCTGGATATTGTCAAGCATAAATGCACTTTTATTATGCAAGAAAATACCATAAACGTATCGACCTAATCACTAATAGTAAGCAGAACGTACTGTTTTTCTCTGCATCTTTGTAAAATGGAAAAGAGACCTTGTAGAGGACAGAAATTCAGTCTGGAACCTGGTGCCAAGTGGTACCTGTGTTACATCATGGCAGAGGATTTTGGAATATGCTAGGAGAGAGGAGAAACTGCTAGAAGAGTGAGTTATTTGCTGTCTTTGTCAGCTGGAGATGATCTATACTGAGCACTTCTGAAAAGCTGGTGATTTAATTACACACTTAATAGTATGTGTGCACATAACCATTTGGCTTCCAAGTTAAGCAAGTATTGAACTGCTTTTCTGATTAAACAAAAGTTGTTGAATGGAGGCTCTGGCAGAACACCAAGTTTTGTAAAATGGATGAAAATTGATACAGGCCTCTGTGTGCAAGGCCTAAAATAATTTTACTCTTCCTGAAGACACTGGAAGAGTACAAAATGCCAAATACTAAAGGCCTGAATTAGTATTGATTCCTGATGTCCCAGCCTTCCTCTGCAAATTTCCCACTTCTCTGGCTGAATACTTTGCTGTTTTGCCCTCAGTGCACCTGCTGTAATATGTAGGCAGTTTGTATACTAGAAAGTTTCTTTAGGTAATGAATGAAATTATGTAAGAACATGAACAAGGAATGCATAAACTTTGGTTCATGCTGTAAAACTGAGAACTTGTAGTATAAGTCAAAACAGAGCTCAAGAACTTTTGGTTACTTGGGGTCTACTGCTCTTATTTAAGGGGCTGTAGGACAGACAGACTTTCCTCTTGCCCCTATCACTATAAGTAGAACTGGTCCTTACAATTTAAGTGTAACTACAGAAGGTAGATTCAGAAAATGGTCTCTAATGTTCAGCGTTGAAGATCACCTGATGCATGAAGTTCTCATTCTGGGCTTGATAGTGCTGAGTGGGTTGCTGCATGTTCGCATAGGCTCTGCCAGAATTTGCTGATCAGGATTTTTCTGCTTGTCTTGCCTGAGAGACTGGCTGTAGTAAAGTATTTCAAGACTGTTTATTGTACTGAGTTTCCCCCAGACTGACTATCCTTTTGCTAGAAGAATGAAGTTACTCACACCAGGTATATGATACCCAGCATGTTCTCTGCTTTCAGGACTTCAAAGAGTCAGCTAAAACAATAACTTCACTTGTAAACTACAGTTCTAGGCCATTCTGAGTCACCTTCCTGCTAAACTGCATCTACTCTGCATGAAATAGTCAGCCTGTCTGCCAGCTTAAACTAAATTTGTTGGAAAGATAGGAATCTCAAAGAATTGCTTGTGTAGAAGAGGTATCCAGATCGGTGCTCACATTGGTGTAGGGGCAGCTGTGTGAGCCCAGCATTGGTTTGATTTGATTTGCTGTCTGGCCAGTGAGCCTGGATTCAACCACAGCATGTATTGCTTTTGTGTAGCTGACAGCTTTAAGCACGAGCAAGGAGTTATGGCATTGTTGTGGGGAAGAGAAGGAAAAAACTTTCAGGGAGAGTATAGTGATAAAGGGCATGAATAGGACTGTTGTGGAGTGAAGAATAGAGGAGACAGATCTAGAGGAAATCAGGCTTTATTAATTCTACCAAAGATCCAATGTATTGTTCAAAAGAAAAAGCCTGAGCTCTGGGGTTCTCTCTTCACGGTTGATTACCTTCCTGTAGAAGGACATGGAAACTCTTGCTCAATAACAAACATAGATTGTACAGTTTTGCAAGTGGGCTAAGTTTAATGTTCCTTTTTGGTGTTGTCATTTAATTTTGTTTTTTTTCCCTCTAGTAATAGATGCCATTTCATATGCTGCAAATCTACTGTTTCACCTACGTCTTCCATTTTGCCTTATTGTGCGTTGCTTCTGTATATTGTTCCTGTTATTGCTGTTTTAAGTGATAACTACATTTATCCTCATAGAGGACAATTATTTAAAATTATTCAAAAAGGTAAATTTTCTTTTGTGTTGAAAGGGTGTCTAATTCAAATTCAAGCTGCTTAGATTTTCTCATAGCAGGTTGTAGAAAAACATCATCGGTTAATATTTACAAACACTACTGTGTTTGTTACAGAAATGGAAACTTTTTTAAACATTCTGCTACATTTGATGTCCTTGATCTTTTCCAAATATCAAAAAAAAACCCACAAGGCCCAGAAGATAGGTAGGGTCTAAAAAACTTCTTCAAGTAAAATCCTTGTAACGGATAGTTCAAGGAAATGTGTTAGGACATTTAGGTGCACCACCGGGAGTATGCATAGGTTGCATAGGTTAACCTCTGGGCTTCTGTGTATGTTATATTTCATTCCAGGCGCATCTAGGTATAGATCCTAACCGGTGCATGTACCTTAGTGTTATGTATGTCAGCTGTACAAAAAGCCTCATAAACACTTAAGAATATCACCATTCTGTTTGTTAAGTTCAGTTATGCCACTGACTGCCTGGTATGGATCAGTAGCTCAATTCTTTTGCTCTGCAATTCATTAATTTGTTTCAAAGGTTATACTCAACTGCCTAAAGCTAAGCATTTAAATGCATTGCTGGGCTGAAATCATTATGTATAATTATCTGGATATTTTGAGTACTTTTGAGACACAGCTGCTTTTTTGCTTGCCTTTTTGTTGTTTGTTTGTTTTGGTAAAGGTCTTCCAAATCCTGGTAAATACAGTTGTTATATAGCGCTTATCAGAAAAATTAGGCACCTCCTAAGTTAGTACATTACTGCTGTCTGTGAAATACTGTAGGTGAACAGGCCTGAATAGAATTAGTATTCTGAAAGAGCAAGTTGTTTACCAAGGTATAGCAAGATTTCAATATGAATACTCTTTTTTTTTTTTTTTTCTTTTCTTTTTCAGATTTAGAAGGAAATGCCTATCAAAACAACCAGCTACTAAAAATAATTCTGGCCATGCATCAGTTTTTCATCTCCTCTGCGGACATGCTCCAGAAACTTGTTGATCTATATCCTTTGTCATATTCACCTGCTGTTAAGGTAATATTAGATAACTTGGCAACTTTGAAATGGGTAAGTAGAAGATACGTAATCTATAGGTGTATTACTGTTCCACTAATTAAATGATATACTTGTTCTTTACAGTTCTTGGTTGTATAGTGTGGTTTTGTTTGGTTTAGGGTTGGGACTGTTTGTTTATCTGTTTGGTTTAGCTTATCATCCACAGAGAAAAAGATGAAACTCCAGTGCAGATTAAGTAGGATAAATCACCCTCCACTGGCTGTGGAGGGAATATCTAGCAGGTGTTAGATTAATGTAGGCATCTCAGTTAGGTACTGTGAACCTGGGCCTAAGTTTCAGATCGCTTTCTCTCTCTGTCCTCCATACAAGTCAAAGAGCAAAGAACAAAAGTGTAAATTTTGAAAATATTTTATCATTTGGAGATGAAAAATTTCAACAAATATTATTTCTCACTCACATGCAAAATTACGATGCACTGAAATAAATCATAAACTTTTCCTTCCTATTTGTTCCCACTTTGCCTGGACTTGTACACATGTGTTTCTGGCTCATTAGATTTTTCACAGTGAAGCTACTAGATCATATTGGCATAGTAGCCTTTCTTAGGAATTTTTAATTGTGGAATATATTGCCTGACTTCTTAGCTTTACAGAATGTTTGCTCCTAATGAAATGAGCACAGTACAGGAAGCAAACTTGACATGCTAAGACTCTCCAGCCAATTTTGGTACAATTTAATTTAGCTAATCCTCTATTTCCCCAAACTCTATATCTTACTGGCTTGTAAAAGCAGCATCATTTATAACAGAGCTTTACTAACCAAAAGTGTTTTACACTAACCAAAAGTGTTAGATCAAGTCTGCTAAGCTACAACTGTGGTGTAGCATTGTGTTTAACTTAGGCGCATGCAGTCTTTGAAAATGGAAGAAGGTAACTGCTTGCATGTTTCTGAGAAGTAACGTTTTCTACAGTCAGAGAAATCATTCAAACTTTTATCAGACTTGCATATTTTGCAAGCTTGGTTTTTGGCTCTGTGTATAGACATTGACTCTCTGAAGACATTGAAAGGTAAAGACAGTTTTGAATGGATCAGGTAGTCTAGGCTCTTATATTTTGAAAAACCTTGCAAATGTCCCATTTGACCATTTTCCATCCCCTAAATTCTGTGAGTGATTTTAGATGTTATGGATGGTTTGTATTTGGTATTACTGTTTCAAATGTTAGAGAGATGTGCGAGTACATGAGTTTTATTAGAAATTGTGAGGCATGGTGCAAAGAAACGCATGTAGAAAGCAGAATCATTTCACTACTTAACATTACTCAGTACTTGGGTGGCTACATCAGTATTCCTCATAGTAGTCATATTTACAGTAAACTTTTGCTAACGATCTTGGGATATACTTTGTATGCACTTGTGTAAAACTCTAATTTGATACTATATGCCATCAGCATATTATGTGCAATCAGAATGATTCCTATTGCTTACAGGTAGGGAAGTATCAAGCTTGTTACATTTCATATCATATGTGAATGGATGTGGTTTTCCTTAACAGTTTTCTACGTATCTTAATGCTTTAGAAAATAAATCTTCCATGCTGTGTGTAAAGATATGCTATTTTGTGAGGTAAGAATATTCTTGTTTGGTGGCTATTTGTCTGTGGCTGTCTACGTCTCATACATACAAATGTTTTTGCATATCTTAAGCTGATGTTAAAAAAGGAAACAGCTGTACTGCTTCAGCTTTTCAAAGTTCACTTTAGTAGCTTTACACAAAAAGGCGCAACCTGCTTTCTGCAGATTCATTGAAGTCAGTGCATGAATTGTTGGGTCACAGTTTTGAACTGTGTCTGTATCTTAAACATCAGTGAAAATTGACAATGCTTAGGAATCAGTAGCATTGCGTCTAGTATTATTGTATAAATCTATTAAAAAAAAACGAAGTGAGATGTTGCAGCTATTTTTATATTAAGCAAAACTCTATTGTATTTAGTAGGTAATTCTCCTTAGTAGTTCTACTTAGTCACTTGCAATGATCCTGGATCACTTTTTTTTTTTTTTTTTTAATTAAGTATGGTAAAGTTTGATATCTCAGTTTAGAGAAAACAGAAGAGAGGAAAAAAAGATGCAACTCTGATAGTAGATTAGCATAGGATATCTCTTTTTTACACAAAATGAGAAACAAGTAGTAACAGTTAGGAAAGTAAAATTTGTTTTAAATGGTGATGATTTTATTATCTCAAAGCCGATTATTGGTTAAGTCAGAATGCTTTGGTATTGTACGTTATCTGGGAACATTTTTGCTTCTAGGCAAATTCATACATGCATCCATAAGAACATGCACTTCTGTTTTTCCAACAAGCACAGATTTTTACATGCATGGGTGTACTGGGTCTGCTGGGATTGAGTTAAATTTCTTCATAGCAGCCCCTGTGATGCTGTGCTTTGCATTTATGAGTAAAACACACCAACGTTTAAGCTGTTGCTGAACGGTGACTGCACAGCGTCAAGACTTTCCGTTTCTCACTCTGCCCCCCCAGAGTGTAGGCTGGGGGTGAGCTTGAGGTTGGGAGGGGACACAGCTGAGACAACTGATCTGAATTGACCAGAGGGCTGTTCCATGCCATACAGCATCATGCTCAGCAATAAAAACTCGGAGGGTAGTCATTCCAAAGTAGTTATTGCTTGGATACTGGCTGGACATCTTGTGGGAGATGGTGAGTGATTGCTTTTGCATCATTTTTTTGGTTGGTTGATTGGCTGGCTTTTTTTCTTTCATTCAGTTCTTAAACTGTCTTTACCTTGACCCACACGTTTTTCTCGCTTTTGCCCTTCCTGTTCTCTCTCCCATTCTGCTGCGGGGGAGAGGAGTGAGTGAGCACCTGGGTGGGTACTTCATTGCTGGCCAGGGTCAACCCACTGCAGTGGGTGACAAGTTACATATATGAATTGAAATATAAAATATCTGACTGAAACAATTTGAATGCCAAACATAGAGAAGTGTAGTTCTCTGAAAATATTTTGTGCATGTGAGACTGAATCACCTGTAACTATTAAATAGATTTAATTAGTAAATTTTTCTTCAGTGAATAGATAAAATTCTGACTAGCACAGTGCATTTTTTTATGTCTGAACTAAATAATTTCAAGTTTTAAAGCCATATATACAGTTATCTAGAAGTTCATGAAGAAAAAATGAGTATGCATATTATCTAGCTTTAATGTGAAACTAGAAATTTTAATATTGAATTTGTTGCAAACATATATTTAGTATAGTTCTATATAGCATTAAGCCAGGTAGTTTCTAATTTATTTTTAATCTTGAAATTTTTATTTTTGATAAAGTCAAGGTATCCTAGCAAAAGCATTTAAAATCTTGATCCACTTCAGGGGGTAGATCTTGAAGAAACACAACTCATAAGCAGGACCATCTATTTAAATTTCAGCCTTCCTGATGTTAGAGCAAAACCTTTATTTTTGTGTTTCTGTATTTTCCATGTGCAACAGGTATTGGATTACAGAGTTCTGGGTTATGTTCAAAATGGACTCTCAACTATCCACAACTATGGAGGAATTTCAAGAACTGGTTAAAGCTAATGGTGAGGAGTTACACTGTCGTCTAATTGACACAACTCAAATGTGAGTGCCAAAGTCTTAATATGCTTGAAAAACAAACTTTTGCTCTGAATTTCCTTTATTCAAATATAATGTCTCTCCAGTATAGCAGGGTAATGGTTGTATAGTGCATTAATTTTAATAATTCATATGTTATGTAACCTTAGAAGAGTTTATATGTCATTATAAATGAAATATATATTATGTAGAGGAACAGAATGCCTTTCAAGAATGGCTTAGGTGGAATTTAACTGCTGTGTAGACTTTGCGCTGATTCTCTATGCTGGATAAATTTTACTCTATCCAAGGAACTCAGAAAAATTTTAGATGCCTAATGATTTTGAAAGATCACTTGAATTCAATGAGAATGGAGAATACGTTTTTATTGGGTAACAGACGAGGGTAAAAAAAAGTGTTTATATTTTTAACACCAAAGTGAGAAGATATAGTTTATTACATTGTCAAACTGGAGATACTATTTTATGTGATTTTAATTATAAAATTACTTGCCCTGTCAAGAATAAATCCTACAGCTATACATCACATAGCTCTTTCTTGGGAAGAGAACCTTCCTTGTTATAGGAGAGTAAGGTAGTTCTGTGGAACTGTATAACAGTGTCAATTCATATTGTGGTTGGAAATGCACAGGCAAAAGCAAAGCAGAATTTGGTGTACATTTTATATCTGATTATGAAAGAGGATATTCAGTTTTTTCAAATCCAATTAAATTTCATTCCTCCATGGACGAATAGCATAGGGGCACAGTTCATACTCAGAGGCTGGTCAAGGAAATCTGTAGGAATTATTAAATGGAGGAGCACTGGATGCGTTCGATGAAGTTACGGACAGCATTTCTGGAAGTGCAATATATAATCTCATGCTGTTTAGTAATATAGTTGTATTGTACTTATGTGCTACATCAATATAATAAAGACTAACAATAATGTTTTGTCATATAATCTCCAATGCATGAAAAGAGCTTGCTCTTTAGAAATTCAAATAATGCACTTTTTATTGCACTAAGGCATGTAAACTATGTTACTTTTGTATTAAGAAGAGAGGAAAAGTTTGCTCTTCAGACAATAACTCAAGAGTAATTCTGTTTTAAAATTTGTCTAAAAGAAATTCTAGGGATTGGTCTAGAAAGCTGACACAGCGTGTAAAGGCCAACACCAGTAAGAAACGGAAAGTCTCGCTTCTTTTTGATCACCTTGAGCCAGAGGAGCTGTCAGACCACCTTACCTATCTTGAATTTAAGTCTTTCAGAAGAATATCAGTAAGTGATTTTATTTATTTATTTATTTAAAACAAAGATGGGAAGGACATAGAAAAGATGGGAGAGGGGTAGTATTACAAGATTAACCCTGCAGTGCAAGCTGTTGGACAAGCTGAGTCTGTGTCCAGACTCATTTTACTAGTGTTGAAGATGGCCACTTACTCTGAGTACATCCCCTTTTGCTTATTCTGAAGGTGTACTTATTCTGAGTATGTACCCTTTTGCTGCAGTCATTCGAGAGAGGGAGAGTGAACCTTTTAAGCAACTGTGGAACAGAGTCAAGGCAAGGTCAGTTGGAAGGAAGAGGAGTAAACCATTTGATCTTCTTCCAAATAATTTCTTTTTGTTAGAACAGGTGGTGTCACTGGGCACAGGAACAAGCAGCCTCTTGACTCAAATTAGTAATCAGGCTGAAATGGGATGAAGGAAACTTGGACTATTCTCCTAGAACGCTAACCTCCTGTGGCTATAGGAAACAGTGCAGCATTTTTGTGCAGTGACTAATGGACTGTATAGAAGATGTCCACTGGACTCTGCATGCCATTTTTGATTGTTGTTAACAAAATAAAACCTAGAGATAAGAAAGCATTTGAGAAAATGCCAGTTTTTAATGTAAGAGGGGTTTAAAATATTTTATTAGACAAGTTTTCAAGTACACAAAAAATTCTTAAGAATTTATCTCATTTATGTTTTTTAATTTGATTTGTTTTCCCAGCTATGTTGGTAGCTGATAAGATGCTAACTTCTCTATGCACCTTGCCTTCATTTGCATCCTTGTATGCTACAACGTTACTTCTTTTCAAAGCTGATACAGGTCACACATGGAAAAGTGAACATTAGGACCAAAATCTAAAATGGTTGCAAAGTCAGTGTGATGATAACAGTGAAAGCAAAGTGGGATTTTAAGGGTTTTTTGTTCGGTTTGGTTATTCAGCAGTGTGGTTTTTTTTGAAGCACTACAATTTGAAGATGAAGTCTTGCAAGGAAAGGAGCTCTCAATAACACGGTGGAAGATTCCACAGTCATGTGATACTGTACTTTGAGCTGACAGTACATGACTTTTCATGTTTTGTGTTAAATTCAAAAAGCCATAGAACCAAAGTCATGCACAGATTGCTGCCTGTAGGCAGTAATAATATGCAAAGCTTATATAACTCAACATTTTCGAGCTCTGTGCAGACATAAAGTAATTAATGATTGCAGTATAAAGCAAGTATGATTGCAGTCAGTGTGTCAGATGTGTCATAGAGTTCCAACAATTACATACTTGTATACATTTTATATGCAAGGTCCCTGCATAAGTTTTGGTATAAATTTTGTTTACCGAGACCTTGGATCAGAAAATAATGTGTAATTAATAAATAGTCTAGATTCATTAACTCTTTGCAGAATGTGTTCATGATATGCTAAGCCACAGAACCCTTTTGTTATTCTAACATGGCAGCATGTACTGGGAGAAAGGCTGCAAATGACCTGCTGTGTTATCAGTCACTGGAATAACTATTCATAGGTTCGGTCATTTGAAAGTCAGAAAGGAATACTTGATCCCCTGAACATATACAGCGTACATCAACATCTTCCATGAGACACCACATATCTTGCAACAAAGAAAAATGCAGGGAGTGGTGTTCACAGAGTAATGACTGCAGGTATGCTGATGTTTGGAAACCATTTCAATTTATAGTGATAAAATACAGGGAGTCTACGCTCTTTCTGCTTTCCTGTTGAGGCTTGTAAGTTAGTCATTGCCACACCAGACTCTTGTGTTATTTAAGTACCTGGACTTCCTTACCGTATCTGCCACAAACAATCGTGTTACAGCTGACCTCGTTAATAAATTCTTGCACCAAAGTCATTTCAAAACTTTAAGTAGTATGTTAGACATAAATTTGTTCAGCACTTAAAACCCCCCTATTTTCTGAAGGAGAGAGCTACTGAGAACAAAATATAAACTATTGAAATTGATTCATGATTGTACTGAAACTGAAGTCCATAATTATGTAGTCAGATACTGAAAAATTATCTTCCATATAGAATAGTTGCTTACATTTCAAGATCCAGCGAAATCTGGCCGGGGTTCAAATTTCAAACAATAGTTGTAAGTACGTACTATGTAATCTTAGAGACAGCTCTACTTATTACTGTTAATGTTTCTTCCATTTTTAATTTAATAAGAGGACAAATCCAGAGAAGTCTGCTGTCATATCTGCTTTTTAAAGTGTTCAGAGTTCTTATTAAATGGATGGAAAAAAAATTAAAAAGTGGAGAGAAAGTGACACAGGGAGAGCAAAAAACAAGCGGCAGCCTGACAATTTATGACCTTTCCTTAGGGATCAATGCCATTCAGCATATTCCTGTGGCCTTAAGAAAGGAATATGTGTCTATTACAGCTGTGAATGTTTTTGGTAAGATGTTAGTAAAGAATGGATATATAAATTCCATGTCACATTTTCTGATTATTCAAATTCTTGTGTATTCTTGTTAATGGATAAATTAACAGAATGGATAAACATTGCACCAACAGAAACGAATGATTGCTGCTCTTTGATCTTAATGGGAAGAATGGCATAAAAAAATCTGTTTGTCACATAAAGGTGTTTACTGAACAATTTTTAATTGCTTTGCTTAAATAAGAGAATCTCACAAGCTGTATTAAAAATACTAAGGAATCTGTAGCCCTCATTCTTAATGGTCTTATCTCAGTTTTATAGTAATCTCATTGAACTTGCTTTTTGTATTAGTGTAGCTTAATTCAGAAGTATGCCCTTGCTACCTAAACCGAACACTTAACTTCCTTAAACTATCACTGAGTTACTAGATTACACTTTAAATTCAGTTTAACCTTACCAGTAGAAGCCTGGATTCAATGAATCTACGGAGCCACTGAGGCTGGGAGGAAAGCCCCAGTTCTACTGATCCTGCGGTTTATATAAGTCAAGGCTCCTGAGATACACATGATGCAAATGATGTGATACAAATTATGGTGAAAAGGTGCTTTCAGCTAATTCAATAATTTGAAGCCTTCAGTTCAGCTTTGAACTGAACAAAGCTTTGACAAAGGAGAGATTTCAGTCTTATGGATGTTTAGGGTGTAAAATGTATCTTGTATATTTCATTTGAAAAGCAGACCTGTATCTGCACACAGATCATGAAGTATGTGAAACTGTAGATGAGTTTACGTTTGCACTTTTTTGTTGTTTTTTGGGGTTTTTTTTAAGTTCTTAGATTATCAGAACTACATTGTGAATAGTTGTGTGAAGGAGAATCCAACAATGGAAAGATCGATTGCTCTTTGCAATGGTATCTCTCAGTGGGTGCAGCTAATGGTTCTCAGCAGACCAACACCACAGCTTCGGGCTGAAGTGTTCATCAAGTTCATTCATGTTGCACAGGTCAGTTAAATTTTGACATGTGTTGTGTTTATTTTGTCTTTCTCCGACACAGCCCTTTAGTTGCTCTTCCCACGCTACTACTGTAGGATCAGCTGAGACTGTTGGCACAGGTCTTCTGGTTCATACATACAGCATGCACATTGTGTATGTGGTGGTTTCACACCAAGTATTCAGTATTACAGTGTCATGGCACCACGACTCTCTCGTATCCATTCTGAAGAAACTGTTTTCACTGAAAAACTAGACTTGCTTTTGAATCAGCTGGTGAGATTCCAAGCTGTGACTGTGCACCTTTCCAAAGCATGAACCACTATCATGCCTTTGGCCGTAAGTAGAAGCATATCTACTAGATAGACCTTACTGGACAGAGGCAGAGCTGTGGTCCTATTGGTATTCTTTGCATACTAATTCAACTGCAGTCATAACCAAGATAATAGGCAGTATTTCCTAGTTGTGGTAGACTGTGGGAAAAGGGAGAAGTACTGCGGAAATACTTGGAAGACTTACTGTATCTGCAGAATTAGTATCTGATTTAATAACTAGAACAAGTACATGTTACACCCAGTTAAATCACAGCTCATTACCAAAATGAGCGAAGCCAAACGGATAGTGGTGCAAAACATGTAAGACTTTAGAGGAAGACAATAGAGGAAATGTAGAATTTGGGTGTGCATTTTGAACAACTTGAACCTTTAAATAATAAATACTGATTGTTTTTTTTTTTGGTATGTCAACACAGAAGCTACACCAGCTGCAGAATTTCAATACATTAATGGCAGTGATAGGAGGTCTCTGTCACAGTTCCATTTCCAGACTCAAGGAAACAAGCTCATGTGTTCCTCATGATGTAATTAAGGTTGGTATTGCTCCTCTAAGTTTTACAAATAAGATAAACTTTAACTTTTTTATCACTGCACACACAAAAAACAACCTTACTTCTATGGATAAGGTGGAAAGACAGACAGAAAAAGAGAAAAAGGAAGACTTCCTTTGGTTGTGGAGGGGTTTTCTTTGTCATTTCATCTCTATGACACCAGTTTCTCCTACACTTCCAACCCCACCTTTCTTCAAGATTTGTATAGCTCCTTTAAAGTTTCTTTTTTAATACTCAGATGTGACAAGCTACATTTTCATTTATATGCAGTAGTACAGAATAGCATTCAAATGTGAAAGCAGAGAATTGGATCCTAGAACATTTGAGAATGAAACTATTGTCATGCATAGCAACATTGACCACCCTGAGTCTATGAAATGCTAGCGCAGAGCTCTGCACTTTGAGTTTAAAACTTAAAGGACTGATTTTTGTTCATCTG